ACTTAAAACTGTAAAAATCTTCTATTATTCTGACAATCCTATTCTTTATCCTAAGATTAATCAAGTATGTAGGAATGTATTTATAAGAATGTTCACCACACTGGGGATTTAGCTCAGTGGCACTCTGCCTGCCTCCCAAGTGCAAGGTCCTGAGTTCAATCCCCAGTACCGGACCAAAAAATAAGAATGTTCAGTTAGGCCTCCTTGCTTAAGAGTTCCAGCAAAACAGTGAGATTCTTCCATTATGTAATGCATAGTTTTGGGGTTCTTTAAAAGACTAATTTACCAATCATAGGTGTTTGAATCTGATACATTAAATGTATGTTCCCACACAATCTGGTTTGGAAAACCCGCATTCTGCATCGGGAATGTGACCCTGATACTTTGGCATCTTGTTATTCAAGCCTGCAACACAGCCTGCTTATCAAGTGAGGAGTGTCGATGAGGGTTTGGGGTGTGGCTCTTCTGTAGAGCACTTGGCTGGCATGTGCAAGGCTCTGAGTTCAATCCCCAGGTCCAAAAAATAAATAATAGGGGCTAGGGATTCACCTCAGTGGTAGAGCACCTGCCTTCCATAACTGAGGCCCTAGTTCAATTCCCAGTACCAAAAGAAAAAAATGAAAATAGAGATCACAGTAAAATAAATAGAAATGATAGATTTCTACACTTACAGATATAGTAGTGCTGCACACTTGTAATCCTGGCACTCAGGAGGCTGAGGCAGGAGGAGCACTGTGAGTTTGAAGTGAGCCTGAGCTACATAGTCCAAAGCAAGCCTGAACTACATAGTGAGACCCTATCTCAAAAAATAATAATAATAGTAATAAATAAAGAACATAGCCAGGAACCCATAAATCATCAGGACCCAGCACCACCCTTTATAAGATGTCCCAAAGACTTGCTGCAGTTTGGTCTTGCTTCACTTAGGCTCCTGTGGAATAATTTCTCTCATTCCTGGCTGCATGTGTTTGTGAGTGAGTGAGTGAGTGTGTGTGTGTGTGTGTGTGTGTGTGTGTGTGTAGGGACTCAGTTTTAACTTCCTTAGAGCTGAAAGGGCTCTCACCTGCATAGCAGGGCACTAATGGCTATATGCTTTCCTGATGAAAGCCCTGATCCAACTGCCACTCTTCTTGAAAAATTCACATAGGAATCAATACAGTGTCCATGTCACACTGATATAATTTCTCTATTTACCATCTGCATATATGAAATGGGTTTGTAGAAACTCATCTACAGGATAAATCATGTTACTGTGTTTTGTTTTTTAGTGTAGTCCCAAAGGGAAGCCTACTCCTTTTGGTGATGCTTAAGGAAGAGAGATCTCTTTCAATGCTGAGGGAGAACATGCAGTGTTGGTCTTAGACTACTTTCTGAGTATCCATACACCACCAGGAATTTTTACTTTACACTCAATTTGCTTCCCTTCACTTCTATAGTACAGAAACTCACTGCAATAATTATTATTGTTATTATTATACTTTCCTTTGTTTTTTGGATATCTTTTTTTTTTTCTTTTTTTGGTACCAGGGACTGAACTTGGGACCTTGCGCTTGTGAGGCAGGCGGTGGAACCACTGAGCTAAATCCCCGGCCCTTCCTTTGTTTTTTGAGACAAGGTCTTGCTATGCAGTTTAGCCTGGCCTTGAACGCATTATGTAGCCCAAGCTGGCCTCAAACTCTGAGCAATCCTCTTGCTTCAGCCTCCCAACAGCTGGGCGGTGTGCACCACCATGCCCAATTGCAATTTTTTTTTTATCATTGGAATATTTTGTGGCCTCTAGTTGTGGCTGAGAAAATGTTTTATGTAATGATATATTAACTAAAATTGTGATAAAAATTTTGTGCATTGTTAAGAAGAAGAGAATTGTGGTTAAGAATTTAGTTTGACTTTGGGCTTTTATAAATGAGGAGTAGAAGAAGGGTTAAAGGCAGGGGAGAAGAATGGAAAAAAAAAGAAGAATCAAGATATATCATGTACAGGTACAAATTCCCTATGATGAATGTGATCATTAGGTATATCTAAAATGTACCAATAAAAAAAGAGAAAAATAAAGAATTTAGATTTTAGGGCAGACTGGTGGTGCACTCCTATAATCCCAGCACTCAGAAGGCTGAGGCAGGAGGATTGCCACAAGTTTGAGGATAGGCTGAGCTACATGTGAGTGAGTTCAAGTTCAGCCTGAACTGCATAGTGAGACCCTGACTCAAAAAAATAAAAGAATTTAGACCCTGGCCAGCCATAATGATGCACATCTGTAAGGCCAGCCAGAACTACACAGGGAGACCCTATCTCAAAAAACAAACAAATAATTTAGACTTTGGAGTTAATACTGGATTTACTTTAGCTCAAACTCCTCCTGCCCATACACATACACCAAATTCAGTTTCTTTATTGGTAAAGTAGGGATAATAGTACCTACCTGGTAGAAGTGGTTGTAAGGATGAATAAAGTAATGAGTTAGAATTCTTTGAGGAGTACCTAACTCATTGCAGTTCCCAATAAGTATTTGTTACATTAATTGCAAAGATCGGAACCCAGGGCCTTTGTCCTGAGCTACATCCTCAGCGCCCTCCCCCTTTTAATGTTGAGACAAGGTCTTGATAAATCACTGAGTTGCTCAGGCTGGGCTCAGATTTGTGATCCTCCTGCCTCAGCCTCCCAGAGTGCTGGGATTACAGATGTGCACCACCGTGCCCGGCTAAGTGTGTATATTTTAAGAGTAGAAAAGTATATGTAACATTGATAATAGTATTAGGACAGTGGATAAATCCACATTAATTTCTGGGTATCCTGTAATTTTTTAATAATGTAAATAAATTTTAAGTCATTTGATATAATTTTAAGGTAACATGTAAATTTTAGTGTGTATATACATATATATGTGTACTTATTTTTGTTATTTATTTATGTATTTATTACTTATTTTTTATTTTTGAAATAAGGTCTCACTATATAATAGTTGAGGCTGAGCCCTGACACAGTGGCACATGTGTGTAATCCCAGCACTCCGGAGGCTGAGGCGGAAGGATCGTCATGAGTTCAAGGCCCACCTGGGCTACATAGTTCGAGGCCAGCAGGAAGTACATAGCAAGATCCTGTCTCAAAGAACAACAACAAAAAAAGTGTAGTACTTCAACTCAAGGCATTTTCCTGCTTCAGTCTTTTTCTTCCTTTTCTTCCTCTTCTTCCTCCTTCCTCCTTCCTCCTTCTCGTCTTCCGTCTTGCAGTTCTGGGGATTGAACCCAGGGTCTTCTCACTGAGCTGTATCCCCAGTCCTTTTTATTTAGAGACAGGGTCTCACTAAGCCATAAAGTTGCCCAGGATGGGCTTGAACTTGTGATCTTCCTGCCTCAGTCTCCCAGAGTCCTGAGATTGCAGACATGCACTGCCACCCCTGGCTGCTTTATTTGATTTATTTGCTCTTTTTTTTTTGGTATCAGCCATTGAACCTGGGTCCTTGCACATGCAGGGCAGGTGGCAGAACCACTGAGCTAAATCCCAGGCCTCTGTTTTGTTTATTTGAGATAGGATCTCTTTGTGGGTCCAGGACAGCCTTGAGCTTTATATAGTCCAAGCTGGCCTCAGACCCAGGGCGTTGCACATGTTAGGCAAGTGCATTATCAATGAGCTACATCCAGCTGTTTCTTAAATTTTATTTTGAGACAAGGTTTCAGTAAATTGCCCAGGCTTGCCTCAAACTGTGATCCTCCTGTTTCAGCTCCCAAGGAGCTGAGATTACAGGCTTGTGCCCCCTTATGTAGCTGGATTTTTTTCTTTTTAATTTTTTTTTCAAATTGACAGTCTCATAATTCCCAACTAAAAAAAAAAATCCATCTATCAATAACAGACCATCAGTTCATGAACTTAAAAAAAATTTGACAGACTCATGATTCCAAAATTAAATTTTCATAAAGGCACATTGAAAACTGCAGCTCTCTGTCACCCTTCCCTACTGCTGCGTCCCACCTTCCGAGTAACCACTTTTGTTATCCAACCATTGCTTCTTTGTGTTTCCCTTTCAAAGTGCTGTTTTCTGCCAAAAACAGTGTGCCTTCTTCTCTATTTTAATTTTCAGTGAGAAAAAGTACTCTGATGAACAAAGGCTTACTCCTCTTTTAGTATTTCTCCTGTGTAGTTTAGTACTTTTCCTTTGGGAAGCTGATTACCTACGGCAACAGGCATATCTGTCATAGTTTTACCTTCTTTTACTCTTTGATTAAAAGGGCCAGATCACAGTATATTTGGAATTGTTTTGAATAAGAAAAAAAGTCCCCCACAACTGAGTAGCTCCTCAACATATTCTGTATTTATGTCTGATTTTGAAGTCTGATACATGCTATGATAGCATTCATTAAAAAAACACAAGCCAGGCATGGTCGTGCACACCTGTACTCCCAGCAATCCAGGAGGATTGCTGTGGGTTTGAGGCCAGCCTGCATAGTGAGTTCAAGGCCAGCTTGAACTACAGAGCAAGACCCTGTCTAAAAAAACAACGACAACAACAACAAAAAAACTGGGCACAGGAGTGCACAACTATAATCCAAGGATTTAGGGAGGCTGAGGCAGGAGGATCACAAGTTTGAGTACTGGCTGGGCAGCTTGGTGAATGAGACCCTGCCTGAAAATTTAAAAATCATAATTAGGGCGGAGGATTTAGCTCAGTGGTTTTGCCGCTTGACTCGCAAGTGCAAGGACCCAAGTTCGATCCCCAGTACCAAAAAATAAAATAAAATAAAAAATCATAATTAAAAGAGGAAAGTGAGGATGTAGTGATGTAGCTCAGTGGTAGAGCACCCCTGGGTTTGATCCCGTCTAAGAAAAAGAAATTCCTCCTTCCCTTCCTTTTCTTCCATCCTCCTTCCTGTGCTGGGATCTAATCTAGAGCCTTCTGCATACCACCACTGAAGTATACCACCATGCCCCACTATCTTTCTAATAATTAATTATTGTCTACTTTTGTTTAAGTCTGATAGCTCACTTTCCTTTCTTCTTCACTGCAGTTGCGGCAGTCACAGTCCTACTGCACGGACACAGAATGTCTTCAGGAACGTGAGTACCAGCAGGACAGCCAGAGGGGTTGGCCTTGGGGGCAGAATTAGAGGCTGAGTGTTTGCTCTTTAATGAGATGGCTCTCAGTAATGTATGTGCTACTTGAAGATTTCTTTTTTTTTTTGGTACCTGGGATGGAACTTGGCTCCTTGCACTTGTGCAGCAGGCGATAAAATCACTGAGCTAAATCCCTGGCCCAAGATTTCATTTTTTAATTAAAATTTGGGTTTTTAAAATTTTTTTCTTTTTTGGTACCAGGGATTGAACTCTGGACCTTGCGCTTGCAAGGCAGGCAGCAGAACCACTGAGCTAAATCCCCGGCCCAATTAAAATTTGTTTTTACCTGCTTCAGAAACAAGCCATGTCATTGAAGAAAATTGTAAAATCTCAGATAAGAAAGTAAAAACTTGCAGAATGCTACAGGATAATCACTGTTGACTACCTTGTGTATACCCTCCCAGACCTTTTCTTGGCAAATACATTTGTAGCAGGGCACTTCTGATGGATTAACTAGAACAGCTGGCACAAGTCCTTCCCCTTCCCCGGCTCTGTCTGTGTCCACTGGTGGGCTTGGAACATCTAAGGGAGGGGAGGGGCCATTCTGTCCTAGGTTTGGAGGCTTTGGGGGCTGTGGAGTTCATTCTCTTGGCTGTACATTAGCATTCCCGGTATGGTGGGCAGGAGGTTTCTCCTCCTTATGGGCTGAGGTGAAGGTCAAGTTTGAATCGGAAGAGGATGGTGAATCCTGTGTGGTAAATATAGTTGAGACTTGGTCTCATTATGTGACACATGCATTTTATTTATTTATTTTTATTTATTTATTTTTGGAGTACCGGGGATCAAACACAGGACCTTGAGCTTGTGAGGCAGGTGGCAGCACCGCTGAGGACACAATGCATTTTAATGATACTGAGAAATAGCTTGAAGGGTACCTTGAGGGAACTAATAAATTAGCATTAAGCCAATCTTGTTCCATAAGATTGTGAGAAGGGAAATACAAGAGCTGGGCATGGTGATACATGCCCAAAATCCCAGTACTTCGGCTGAGGCTGAGCGGAAGAATCACCAGTCTGACCTACATAGTTCCAGGCCAGCCTGAACTACTGAACTGCAGAGCAAGACCCTGTTTCCAAAAAAAAAAAAGAAAGAAAAGGAAAGTATGACACTGACAGGATGGTGCATGGTGCAGTCTGGCACAATTAGCTTTATTTTTAAGGGGTTTTTTTAGATTTATTTAGGGCCTCATGCATGCTAGGGAAGTGCTCTACCACTGAGCTACACCCCAGCCCACAATTAGGTTTCATATATACTCACAGAAATGCAATGACTCTAGGTTTTTCGCAACTGTATTATAAATAGATTTATATATTTTAAAAATATTTATTGAACTAGGGGTGTAACTCAGTGAGAGAGCACTTGCCTAACATGTACAAGGCCCTCTCTTCTATCCCCAGCACCACCAAAAACCAAAAAATTTGTTGACTAAACAATAATAATTCACTGCAGGGATGTACCAGTGTTTAATGATTCCATTTTGTTCGAATCTTAGGTTGCTGAGATCTTTTTTGCTATTATAAACACTACCTGAACAAATCTTTGTATGTACATGACAGGAAGGAAAAATAATTTTTTCCTCAATCCTCATATTCTTAGCTACGACATCTATAACAGAAAACAAATCAACGAGGGGAAAACAGACAAATTCATTAATGTGTGCGGTGCACATCGTGCCTACCGTGCACGAGGTCCTAAGTTCTATACCCAGAACTGCAAAAAATAATCTTTAAAAAATTAAAAATTAAATCTAATTGTGCAAGATTGCACCATCCTGTCAAGTAACTCAAAAGCAGCCCCTCAGACCTGTCCTCCTCAGCCTCTGCAATCAAGAGCAGTAAAAGTGGGGGCACTGACAGGACTTAAAGGAAAAGAGACTGTAGGTTTCCAAGGGTAGGGGAGTGTGGAAAAGGGTGAGGTTTGCTTTCAGATTCCCCTGGCACACTCTGCGCTGAACAGTGTATAGAACTGCTTCTGGTAAAGCACTTATATCCTGCCTTTAGGCAGAAAAGTGAGGATCTAACTCGGGTCCTTGCACTTGCGCAGCAGGCGGTGAAACCACTGAGCTAAATCCCCAGCCCATACAGGATGAGCTTTTGCTTCATTTGATTTTTCATAATTGCCTTCAGCTCAAAAATAATTATTTTTGGGCTAGGGATTTAGCTCAGTGGCACCAGGCCTGCCTTTCAGGTGCAAGGTCCTGAGTTCAATCCCCGGTACCAAAAAACAAACAAAAAAATAATGTTGTTTTTTTTTTTGGTCAAAATGACGTATTTTGAGCTGAATGCCGTGGCACATGGGTATTATCCCAGCAACTTGGGAGGCTAAGGCAAGAGGATCACAAGTTTGGGGCCCACTGGACAACTTAGTAAGACCCTGTCTCAAAACAGTTAAAAAGTGACGGTGTGTAGCAGTGGTAGAGCACTCACCTCCTCGGTGGTGCACACACACAAAAAGTGTACTTTGGAATGACATATTTTGAGGTTTCCTACATACTATTTAAAGACTTACGACACATTGCTGTATTACATTTACCTTTTTATTAAAAATAAAAAAGCTGGACTAGAGTTATTTATAGCTAAATGGATGCATATTGAGGCCATACTCTTAAGTGAAATAAATAGGACACACATGTGTAAATACCGAATAGTTTCTCTAGTGTGAGAA